AAATAAAGAAAAGTAAATTTTAAAGGACCCTTAAAGAGAAATGCTAATTCAGGAATTCCAGCTGAAATCTGTAAAATCATGGTTAAAATGGATATAGATTAGTTCATTAAATTCTGAGACTTCAGAAATTAGAGGCAGACACATAAAATTAGGTATACTTCCTATGTGAGATAATAATGAATTGAATTTATGTCCTCAGGCTGAATTTAAATACACTCAAAAAGAGGCTACATTAATTCTGGGATAACTGATTAAATATATACTAAAGAAAATGAAGGCTTTAGGGGGCGCAGCCCCCAGTCTTCCTGAGAGGGTATCAAGGATGACAGTGATGACAGCATATTGCATGATGCAGTCTTTGGGACTAAACGTTAAACACGAGGACACATCAGGCAATCCTCAGGTCTTCAAATTCCCAGAGATGACTAATGTGGATATTTGGTGAGGCTGATGCAATATTGGATTTGGTCTATGACAGCTGAAGACATGCCTATCACACAGGCTTCAGCTGGGAAGGACTGTCAGAGGGGTACCTAAATATAATTTTCTCAGCCTTTCTTGCTGAGAGTCTGGAGTACATATTTGGAGGAGGTTATGAGGGAGAAAGTGATGAATGCAAAATGCTGTGGTTAAATAATGAAGTATAAAATTGGAAAGAGATATTAATGTGTAAAGAAGAAAAATGAAAAGACAAAAGGGTAGATTTTGCAAGAACAGCCAGGGTTTATTAGGGAAAGAGAAGTAGTTGGCAGGTGACAGAGGTCACAAGTCAGAAAGATCATAAACTGCTACCTGGATGGAGCCAGTGTTCACAGAGACACCGAGACACTATTGAACTCTGAGGCACATCTCTCCCAGTGTGTGTGAAGACAAGATCTCAAAGGAACAGGGAAGATATTGGAGAAGAAATTCATTTGGTGGCTACCACACAGAAAGTGTTCAGGGAATTCAAAACAGGAGAAAGGCAACAAGCTCAAGGACAAAAGCAAAGCCATTCTAACCATAGGTTAGGATGGGAAACATGGGAAGTGAGGAGAAGGGGAACAAATATGGGCTGACAGTCTACTAGAAAACAAGCAGAAACTTCTAATATAGCTATTATTATTATTGTTATTATTATTTTGAGACGGAGTTTTGCTCTTGTTGCCCAGGCTGGAGTCCAATGGCGCAATCTGGGCTCACCACAACCTCCGCCTCCTGGGTTCAAGCGATTCTCCTGCCTCAGCCTCCTGAGTAGTTGGGATTTCAGGCATGCGCCACCACGTCTGGCTAATTTTGTATTTTTAGTAGAGATGGAGTTTCTCCAAGTTGGTCAGGCTGGTCTCGAACTCCTGACCTCAGGTGAGACTGGTCTCGAACTCCCAATCTCAGGTGATCCACCTGCCTTGGCCTCCCAAAGTGCTGGGATTACAGGCATGAGCCACCATGCCCGCCCTGATACAGCTATTTTGATGCCTTTGTGTTAATTCAAGCTTCTTAATCCAGTTGCTTCAGACTTCTTGTCAAAATGTCTGTCAACTATTTATGAAATAATGAATTAACATGTACAACTTATATACGTGACTCTCACTTATGATGGGAGACTTCCAGTAATATTTTATTAATTTCTACAATATTTTTGAGTTTTTATAAGTATATGTTACTGATATAATCAGACAAAGCTAAGCTGGGTGCAGTTGTTCATACCTGTAATTCCAGCACTTTGGGAGGCTCAGGCAGGCAGATCGCTTGAGTCCAGGAGTTTGAGACCAGCCTGAGCAACATGGTGAAACCCTGTCTCTACCAAAAATACAGAAAACTAGCCGGCCATTGTGGTGCATACCTGTACTCCCAGCTACTCAGGAGGCTGAGGTAGGAGGATCATCTGAGCCTGGGAAGTCAAGGCTGTAGTGAGCTGTGATAACACCATTGTACTCCAGCCTGAGCAACAGAGTGAGACTCTTGTCTCAAAAAAAAAAAAAAAAAAAAAAGCTAGAAAAATTCTCTTAGAACAAGGTTATCTTCCCTGGATATGTCACCCAAACTCCAAAATAATTCCTATGAAAGGGTGTATTCATGTTAAATAAAATGTGGCAATGATAGTCAAGGAAATAATAATATATAATAAAGGAATATTACTGAGCATATTACACATCACACTCAAAGTAGAGTCACATCACACATTTTCCTTAAAGGTTAGGTTTAAAACCTAATCCCTCACCCAAATTAAACTATATAAAAATGTGGCTCCACTGACGTCCACACAACTACAAACAAATCTATGAAGATTTATTAAGGTTGAGAGGCTTAGACAATTGTGATTGATATGAGCAGGGAGGAGCCCTGGAACTCCCCAGCCTACCCTGTCAGCTACTAGTGATTTGATTGTTATCTTGAAGCAAAATAATAATAAATAATTATTTATTATTAGAAATAAACAATAATTTAAATTCTCCAAATCTGCCCATGGACTTTTCTTATAATCCCTCATTCAGTTAACTTTATATACATAATTACTATACCCATATTACTTGAACCCACATGAGACTCAAGAATGAGGTGAAGTCAGGGTCCCCAGGTTGTGCCCTGCACAAGGGCCTTGTCCCACTGAAGGGGAAAGGGAGGAGCTGAATGCCTAGCCTGTGTCCCTTTGTGTCGGGGACGGAGTCTGAGGGATTGAGGGTTAGAATAGGGGTTGCATTTTGCAATGTGCTTGAAGGCAACATATAGGCCAGCTAGGGACCAGGGAGGATGTCTGCTTTATGCATTAAACTTCATGCAAGTTTAAGGGTCATTATTTAGACTAAATGTCTTAGTTTCAAAGTGGCTATGAGGCAGACAATATTTTAGGCACCAATTCACATTTTTTCACCCTAAATGCCTCCCTCCCTTCCTGTCCCTGGTAGAGAGGGGTGGTAGCATACAAGCAGACGCTTACTTTGCTGAGATTTCCATAATTAAGACAAGAGAGAGAACTGGGCAGGAAACCAAAAGTGTCTATAAATTATTTTGACTTTTGTCTTATAAAAAGTCTAAGCACTTAGGGGAGGGATATTTGCAGGTATAGACAAAATGTCTTAGTAAACAAAGGAGAAGCAGGAGATTTCCTTGGGTTGTGGAAAGTGGGGGTAGGGAGAGAGGGAGGGAGGGGGAGAGAGAGAGAGAGAGAGAGAGTAGGAGGGAGGGAAAGATGGCAGAAGAAGACTTCAGAGTAAAACATAATATAAAATGTAGAAATAAATTTACCTGAATAATGTAAATTCAGGTAAATATAAACAGCTGTATCAGAATCATGGTTCTTGCCTGTCACATGCCAGGCATTGTACAAAGCAGGTTCACACCTATTCTCTCATAATCTTCACAATAGCACTGCAAGGTAGATGTTATCATCTCATTTTAGAGTTGAAACATCATAGCTTAAGACACAGCTAGTAAGTAGGGGGGCAGGGATGCAAACCCAGGTCTGTTTTTCTTCCTGCCTTACATACCTATTATCAGCGACATGTACCTAAACTCAGGGACAAAGGCAATACACTGGGGTTCTCAGAAGGTTAAAAAAAAAGAGAGCTCAGTCCATTATAGCACTAGGTCTATCTCATTGCTATAGTACTGGTTCTGTCTCATTCTATCTTATATACTCCGGAAGCAGAGAAAAAGCCCACTATTACTAGACCAAAAAGAGGAAACACCTAGAAAAAGAATGGAAGTCCTAGATCTGAAGAGACTGTGATAGTGATCTGTGACCACAATAGACTTACATAATTCAGCCCAGACAGCAAGACTCTCACCCCTATGCCAGATTTCAAAGGCCTCTCTTCAAAGATATCAGTATTGAATATGTTTTCTGTATTTCGTGGTAAGTTTAGATTAACAAAAAAAACCTATGAGCATGTAGATATTTTGACCAACCTACATAATTTCCACTCATCCAATTCACCTGAGCAGTTCTACTAAGTCCGAGTTACTCCTGTGCCCATCTATATGCCATTAGGCTAGAAAGTTACAAGCTTATGTGTGCACGTGCACACATGCGCGCACGCGCGCGCACACACACACACACACACACACATACACGCAGGTTGTTAATCAAATTTATCCTAAATCTGCCTCCTTACATATTTTAAGTTCTGCCTAAAGGTTTCTCCATACATAGTGAACCATAACCTAATTGGATGTGTAACCTACTCTTATGCCAATCATTGTGACACACCGGTAAAGCTGTGTTCAAGAAAGTCATATGCTGAGCTGCAATCAATCTGGCTATTTCTATACCTCATTTCTGTTTTCCGTACATCACTTTCCTTTTTCTGTCCATAAGTCGTCTTCTACTAGTATCTGTGCTAGAGTCTCTCAGAACCTATCCTGGCTCAGGTAGAACAATTTGTGAATTGCCCTTTACCCAATTAAATTCTGTTAAATTAGATTTGTCTAAGGTTTTTCTTTTAACAATATGTATATACATAATCAATCAGCTCCAAAATTCCCACCTCATATGGTTTGGCTGTGTCCCTACCCAAATCTCATCTTGAATTATAGTTCCCATAATCCTCATGTTTTGTGGGAGGGACCTTCACAGTGGGAGGTAGTTGAATCATGGGGATGGTTACCCTCATGCTGTTCTCATGCTAGTGAGTTCTCACAAGACATGATGGTTTTATAAGGGACTTTCCCCCTTTCACTTAACATGTCTCTCTCCTGCTGCCATATGAAGAAGAATGTGTCTGCTTCTCCTTCTGCCATGATTGTAAGTTTCTTGAGGCCTCCCCAGCCATGCAGAACTGTGAGTCAATTAAAAATATTTCCTTTATAAATTACCCAGTCTTGGTTACTTCTCCATAGCAGCGTAAGAATGGACTAATACACCATCCCAGTTTGAGCAGAAAACAGACACACTTTAGCATTTATTAAAATAATGCTTTAAAAAGCTACCTATTTTTTTCAATGACCATGGTATTCTATTTAGGTATTTCTAGTCAAGGCTTTGGATACATGATATGCTTCAATTCACAGGACCAGGTTACCTGGTTAGGATCAGGATCAACTTCATCCCAGTTGTGAGTGACATGGCCTTCGTCAATGGATTCAAAGGGCTTGTGAGAAACTGAAGGTAGAATCCTATACAGCCAGCTAGAGGGAAAACATATGAGATATACAAGCCTTAGAGTAATGTTTTAAGTGATACACAGAATGACTCAGGCAGTACCATCAGGAAGACACGCAAGTCAACAACGACCTGTGGACTCTAATGTGTGAAGCAGTGAAGCAATGTCACGGCATTACTTTTTAATGGCCATCTGCTGCCCACAGCCCTGGCCTCTTCTCACCTTTTCACTCCACCCATCATGTTTCAAATTGACTTTGACTCATGCTTATTTCCATGCGGCCAAAAAATGAAGAATTGTCTTTTCTAAAAACTGCAAGGAAGCAGGGAAGTACCTTGGTGGGTATCTGTGTAGGAAAATCCATAGAGAAACATCAGCTTATGTGTCTCATAGGATGTTAGTCCCTGCTCTGGAAGGCAAGAACAACGAGTTCTATGTAGCTTGAGAGAATATGGGTGGTATCGTTGTTATTTTTGAAATAATAAACCAATTTTCTCCTTTAAAATCATAAAAGTAATACATGCCAATGGTAAAAATAATTCAAGTAATTAAAAAAGTCCTGAAAGGTAAATGGCTCCTTCCTCCTTCAATTTCTTCAGGGCTATGCCTCAGAGGCATCAGAGCTTGATGATTTTCTTATATATTTCTTACATATTCTTTCAGATACATCCAATGCATTTCTAAGCAAAATTGTCAGATCGTTTTAACACTTTATTATCATACTAACCATGTGTGAGTGCCTGGTCACCCACATCTTCACAAATCTGGAGTATTGCTAAAAATTTTAGTGTTTTAGGTGAAAAATAGTATCTTATTTTATTTTGTATTTCCTTTATTAGGAGTTATAAAATACAAAATATTTCCAAAAAACAAGTCTATTCATTTGTTGATTGGCTCTCTATAGATTTTCTATGAATTACTTGTAAAAGTCCTTTATCATTTTCTATTGGGTCTGTCTTTTTGATACTAATTTATAAGAGAAACAGATGCTGGAGAGCCTGTGGAGAGATAAGAATGCTTTTACACTGTTGGTGGGAATGTAAATTAGTTCAACCATTGTGGAAGGCAGTGTGGTGATTCCTCAAAGACCAACAATGAGAAATACCATTTGACCCAGCAATCCCATTATTGGGTATATACCCAAAGGAATATAAAGCATTCTGTTATGAAGATACATGCACACATATGTTTATTGCAGCACTATTCACAATGGCAAAGACACAGAATCAACCCAAATTCCCATCAATTATAGACTGGATAAAGAAAATGTGGTACATATACACCGTGGGATACTATGCAGCCATAAAAAGGAATGAGATCACGTCCTTTGCAGGGACATGGATGGAACTGGAAGCCAATATTCTCAGCGAACTAAAGCAGGAACAGAAAACCAAATGCCACATGCTCTCACTCATAATTGGGAGCTGAACAATGAGAACACATGGACACAGTGAGGGGAATAACACACAGTGGGGCCTGTTGAGGGGTGGGAGTTGGGGGAGGGAGAGCTTAAAAAGTGGCTAATGTATGCTGGGCTTAATACTTAGGTGATGGGTTGATAGGTGCAGCAAACCACCAGGGCACACACTTACCTATGTAACAAACCTGCGCATCCTGCACCTTTACCCCAGAATTTATAATAAAATAAAAATAAATTAACGCCTCTGTACTCCAAAATTTTAAGACTGTATATCCACGTTTTATTGTAGTACATTTATGCCTGTATTTGTTTTTCTTTCTTTTCTTTTTAAAATGTGTCCTCTCTACCAGGACCAGATCTCAGGCTTCAGGAAGGGAAGAAGACTCTGTAAAGGAATCCTAAAGGACACCAGGATGAGAACCTTCCAGAAGTTGGAAAGGAGATTGAAACTCACTAAGAGGGACCCAAGTCCTTTCAGAGGCTACTACACTGACAAAATACAGAAGGACAATGGAAGACCAGAGCTGAATCAACAGGCTCTGGCCCTTTTAAGCCCAAGGACAGTCTATCTCAGTGGGTTGAGTTGGCCTGGCCCAACATTGAGCCATCTGGGGGAAAATGGGCTACATCTGTTTAGTTTCCATTTGATTACTCCATCTCTTCATGACGTGACCTCGGACCTTGGTCTTACTAAGCCTCTCCAGCTCCCAGTATATGAAGTTCTGAGCATGTGTGTATGTCTTGGAACCACCTGTGTGATTCTGGGAGAGTTACTAAACTTCCTGAACCTTATGTACTTCATCCTTGTCTCCTAAGATTGTTGTGAGAACTCAAAGAGTTTGTGTACCAAAAATGCCTGGCATACAGGAGGTGCTGGCTTATTAGACATTTGTTAAATTGCCTTTCTTCTCTTAATCTTCTGAATTTTTATCACGGTCCACATTTTCCAAATTCTCTCTCCTCACTCTTGCCTTTTCGAAACCCAAGGGATCAATCAACTAGCTAATCTGATAAAAATTAATCCTTGATAGGTAGGTAGGTAGGTAGGTAGGTAGGTAGACAGACTCTTTAATAGTTTTGTGGTGGCCCTGCATGCTGTGGTTCAGATGAGTAGTAACTAAGAATTTCAGGCTGGCCTACTTTTGGATGGGACTGGTCCCATCTTCCCACTGGAGATTTGAGTGGAAAGCATTTCTACACAATTCTTGTGGCTATCTTTGAAGAGTTCTTCTAAAGAGATGGGTGAGCCATACCTAGTGTCCCTTATTTTTTAGCTGAGTTTATAAAACTCCCCAGACAGCACTACATTGCCCTGAACAGAGATTTAATTCTGATTCAGGGCACAGTGCCAGCTTCTTAATGAAATGCCAACAGCTCCTTTTCAGCCTCCTGGAACAAAGCTCAGCTCCTGCTGGCTGAAGATATTGCTGAATAATGGGGACAGGCAGCAGAATCTGGAGACCAGGTGGCCTGTTAGGGAAAGGGCCACAAAGTCAAGAACATAGTCATAGAGGCCAGGTTGTCATAAATTAGAATGGACAGAATTATCTGTGTGCTTACCTTACCCTGTCTATTTGGGCTTACAGAGAGAGAGAGAGAGAGAGAGAGAGAGAGAGGGAGAGAGAATTAAATAGTGATGGAATTGTCCCCTGATTTTTGACATGTATAGAAAACTTTCTCTATCTCTTCCTCTTTCCACTCACATATCTACTGAGAGAAAAGCACTGTTGATACTGACATTGTAACATAGCACCTGCCATATATCATGCCCAGTTCTCTTGACAGCCTCCTAGAGATACCCTGGAAATGAGGCAGAAACTCTGCTATGATGGCAATACTTAATGATAGTTATTATGACAATAACTAGCATTAACTGAACACTAACCATGTACCAGGCAATGTGCTAAGCTAAGATAATGTGCTTTACACACATCCTTTCTTTTAATCCTCACCACAGCTATGAAATAGGTACTATAATTATCTTTGTTTTACGAATGAAGAACTAGAGGATCCAAGGGGGCAGATGATTTACCTAAGGCCACACAGCTAGAAAAGGAGCCAGGATTTATACTCAGGGGGCCTGCCTCCAGGGTGGCCATGATTAAACCGTGCAATCTTTATCATTTGTTTGGTCCATTATAGTTTTGTACTTACTATCTCATTTGCTTCTCAGAAGGATCTGTGGAGATAAACCCAGGCTGCCCTAATAAGCAGTACAAGACCACAAGCCCTTCTCTCCAAGTCTCTGGTATCAGCAGCATTCCTCTTCACAAATGCCTTAGCCTAAAATTTCTATAACTAGACACCATTTGTTTAAATCACAACACTTACTGCCTCCCAAAACTATAACACATACTGCATCCAACCTGAGTTAATCAAGGGATCATGTTCATTGACCTGGATGTAGCATTAGAGCAAACATGGAACATGGCATACTATGTTAATGAATATGCTGGTTTCTAGCAAAGGCAAATTCCAGAATAAAAACCTTATTAATTCAAACCACAGTGGGCCTTAATACATGACTTTTAACTATCCAAGCTTGGATTACCCAACATTTTCTTGCAAAGACCATACCTCTAGTCAGCTGAGAGAGATATTGCTCTGAATCTTCCCTAATTGTGACTTTGTCATTATAAAACAAAACAAAAACAAAACAGGTAAACCCCAAGCCAAAACTCAACAGGACAGTCTTTAGAAGAAGGCCAAACTATTAGGAATATTTTCTTCTGAGTATAAGAGACAATTTGTAAATAGAACTGGACATGTGTATTTTCCCGGCTCTGTGCAGTTTTCCTTCACCTTCTTCCACTAGTCACTTGGTGCTAGCTGGCAGGAAGTCCATTCTCTTCCGAGTATGACCCAGACCATAGCCTATAAGAAGCAGGATCTTGGGCAGCTCTGGGAGGCTGTGGCCCAGGGGAAGGAGGCAGCACAAAGTCCCTGTCATAGTTCCCACAGTCTACAGGTCAGAATTCATCTAATCCTTGTACCTTCTCTTATTGGTGCTCTGCGGACAAGTGAAAGCCGATCCTGAGAGCTGCTCAGCGTAGAGATTGTAGGGGCAGACCTGAGGATTATTCTGAAATAAAGGATGCAATAAACAATATTACTCCCATCTGAAAAGCATCCCACCTTCCCACCAACCAACTCAGTAGGGGGATGGGGATACTCTGGGCCACTGCACATGACCATGTCCAACCCAGTATGTTTCTTGTAACGACTTCTGATGTGACTTGCCCCCCGATTATAAAAGTAATATATACTTATTGTAGAAAATGTATAAACTATATGATATCACCCATTATCTCACAACCAGAAATAACAGAGTGTTAACATGTTGGTATTTTTCCTCGCATTCTTAACCTCCAAAATTGTGATGCTATGATACGTATAATCCTGTAATAATCACGCTTTTTTTTTCTTTTTTTTTTTAAGAAAACATTATACCATAAGGATTTTTTATGCCATGATACAGCCTTCAACAAGTTTTGAAAATATTTTGTTTACTGTGTTGTTGCTTTTCTAACCAGCAATAGTATGAACATCTTTGTGCATACATGTTAAAGCATCTTGTTATTTTCTCATAATTGTCACATCCATGGTGCTCAAGGGGAATATGAGGAATTCCCCTTAACCCTGGATTTTGGGAATCCTACTGGAAACCCTACAGTTAATTTTACTAGTTTGGATTGGCTGCTGTGCCACCAATCCAGTTTTAATCTTTGTATTGTCATTGCTCTGTATCTTCATTGCCCCTATGACTTGGGAAACCCCTAGACAGTTCACAGGCTAGACTGGAAGAGCCACAGTGGGTGGAGGCACTTTGGCCTGAAAGCTAGTGATCCAGGAATAGGATTCAGAGCTCTTCTAAGCATGTTATTTGCTTGTACCTGTCCTTCTGGCAGGGAACCTGGGCAGCGAGGATCCTCTGAAGCACACTCATTCCCAAATCCAGAAATGTACTGTATGTGACAAAGACATAAATGCCACCATTAGTAGGATTTAAAGAGCATTTCACAAAGTTGGCAGTCCACAAATGTAAGAATTTCTATATAGACATACGTTTGTGTATGACGTTCTATGTATAATATCTTTACTGTGTCTTGACATATGAATCATTTAGGGAAGACAATATGCTTTCTGTGAATTTTAAAGACTTCCAATTAATCAGAAGAGTGCTGGATATTGCATAGACCTCTCCACCTTTAGCTGTACTTAGCTGATTTATGGGTCTACACTGTAACCTCCCTGAACTTGAGACTCCATTTCCCTTTCAAACTCTGGAAAAAAAAGAAAAACCATCTAGGAAGAGATGTGTGGGTCCAACCCCTGACAGCAAAACCCTCTGCAAACTAGCCTTGCTGCAGGCAGAAGCCTCTGCTATCTGCCTCACCTATGGAACACATCTATATTTGTGTGAATGCATGAAAATAAAGTTTAAAGATATGGGTGGCCTTCAGGAGACATGCTAGCCCAGAATTTTTTCACAATGATACAATGAAACCTACTCTGATTGCCATCTCTTCACTTCACTCCCAGAGGAAACAAAAGTTAAAAGGTTTCTCAGCAAGGTTAAGTCAAGGGGAGCTCCTGAAACTTACTCTTACAACACTCAACACACTTGAGAGTTCTTGTGCACTGTCTGGCTCTTTTGCTAGCCTAGAAGCTGCATGAAGGTGGGACTATGGCAGTCTTGGGTCAGAGAAAGTAATCAGTGGAAATCTATTGATTGATTGAGTTTTTCACTTAAAGCCAATTCTAATATAAGTGTATGTGTGCTGCTGTAAATAGGGTTAGAAGCCTCTTTGCTCTAACTTAAATACCAATTGATTTTAGCCCAGGATAATGAAAGTGCAGTCTTGCTCAGCGAGTGAAATGCCACCATCTGAACACATCTCCTTAAGAGATATAAGAAGGGTGGAAGCAGGTGAAGGGTAGGCCCTCCAGAGTGCTCAGCGGCATGGAGATGTAACAAGCCTGGATGTGTGAGTGATGATCAGGCCAACAACAGTCTATATTTGGAAGAAATATCAGATGTGAATGTTATGACCTGGGAAGCAATGGAAGTGAAATGATTCTTTTTGCCTTCAGACTCAATATTTTGCATATTTGAAAATTTGTCATCACAAAAAATACTAAGCTATATACTGATTTGTTAAAAGCAGCAGCATGCAGTTAGGATGATATCTTTGGGGAAATGGCAGAGGCCATCCAGCATTCTGATTCTGCGCTGCATCCAATTTTCTTCTCTCAAAATGAACCCCATGCTCACCATCAATGGGATTGAATTTGAGCTGCTGAGAATTGGTAATAACCCCAAATTATCTTCAATTCTGTGAAATGGAATTTTAGACCAGCCTATGACTGAAGCCACTGGGCATTACAGTGCCTTCGCTTTGTTCAACTGCCGCATTGTTTCTCTCTGCAAGAGAGGAAAGAAGGCTGGAGTACAGCTGAGCTTTCTGGCAGGCACCAGTGGATTTATTCATTAACCTTCCCCATTCTTTGTAACTGCTTGCCTCAGAAGAGAGTTCAGGGTTATGTGTTTGCAACAAGAGCTAGTATATATGTTTCTGAAGCCCTTGATTCAGACTGTGCTTTAAAAAATAGAAAAGAAAGTAGAAAGAACAGCTGGTGGTTTGGAAGGGAGCCACCAAGCACCAAGAGGTGTGAGTTCTGAATCCGTTTCTCAATCTTAGCTGCAGTGCATTGGCTAAAGAGGAAGGTGAAAACTGCTGAGTCACTATCAAATCGATTGGTTTTTCTGATCCCCTGAGAGAAAAATTACAGATGAGTTTATTACAGCTTTAAAATGCCATGTCCCTCACTGCCAAAGGCATCTGAATTAAGGAAGCAGTATTCGCAGCTGCTTTCTCCAGACATTGAGCTCAAGGACAGAATCTGAACTCTGCTTTTATCAGCTGCGAAAATCCAAGCATTCATTTCCAGCTAGTTCAGTGCCTATGTAAAAGTATATTGGGTACAAAAATAAGACTAAAAACCTAACATTAAGCAAGTGTGTTTGTATGTTTTCTACAGTTCAGATTTCTGAATAATTTGATCCGACAGAAAAATATGATTTCATTTCTTTTCAAGAGAATTATATGCATACTTTCTAAATGCAAGAATAAATTTCTGAGCTCCATGTGACTTTAGTACCATCAGTTCTTTGGCAGCTTACCAGTATACAGCTTTTTAATTCTCACCTGGTCCCCAGGATATGGTTTACTTGTCAGAGTAGTTTTATGAGGTGCTTTCTCCTGACTCTGATTCTAGGTAACACCTGATGAGATGAACAGATGGTGCACCTCACTTCCTCTTACTGGGCATGAAGGAAAGAGAGAGAAGTCAGGGGAGAGATGAAACTACTGCTACATTTTTTTTTTTCTGTGGAAAAAAGTCTAATATTTCTAGTTAACCTTGATGGGAACATAGAACATAGACTGTAAAGAGAACTTGCAGATTATTGCAGTAGGCTGAATAATGGCTCGCTCTGACAGATACGTATGGCTTAACCCCAAAACCTGTGAATGTTACCTTTTCTAGCCAAGCAGACTTTCGCATATAAAATTAAGGAATTTGGGATGGAGAGATATCCTAATTATTTGGGTGTATCCTAAATGTCATCACAAGTGTCATTATAAGAGGGAGGCAAAGGGAGATTTGACTTATAAGAGGAGAAAAGGTGATGTGATTACAAAAGCAGAGAGATACATTTTTTTGAAGATAGAGGAAGAGGCTACAAACCAAGGAATGTCGGTAGCCTCTAGAAGAGGAAACAGAATCCATAGAAAAGGCAGGGAAACACAATCTCTATCATAGAGTCTCCAGAAGAAACCAGCCACACTGACACCTCGACTTTACCCCAGTGAAACTGATTTCAGACTTGTGACCTCCACAACTTCAAGATAATAAATTTGTGCTGTTTTAAGCCAATAAATTTGTGGTAATTTTTTACAGCAGCAACAGGAAATCAGTTGTGTAGAATAGCAGGCTCCGTCTCTGGCTAATCATTAGAATCACTCCAGAAGCTTGTTACACACAAACCCAGAGCCAGCGAATCAAGGATTTGGTGGTGGGGCTCAGAGCCTGAATGTTAAGCAAGCTCTTTGTTTCAGAAATGAGGAAACCAAGGTTGGGAGAAGCTAAGCAACTTACTCAGATACACAGGGTATTTCATTTTAAATTTAATTTTATTATTGTATCTTTTGAATTTTCTTCCCCTAGCTGTACTTTTGTGTAAATGTGATTTCATTTATGGCTTTGTGTTGACATATTCATTAAAATGAAGAAATAAAAGATGAGAAACAGTTTAAACATTATGTAATGTTTATTGAGTAGAATGAATACGATGCAATCCGGTTTTCTGTGCTCGGATTCCTGACCTCTGGAGTTAACCTTTCCTTGTAAAGATTAGACAGCAGGCAGGGAAGAATGCCTTTGAAACTGAGAGCAAAGACTGGCATGCAATTTACATTGATGTCCTGGTGCTGTGCATAATAAGTTGCTTAAACATGACAGCAGGATAAGATTTTATATATAATTTATTTATAAATGGTAAAGATGTTTCCAACCCCTGCTGAACTTCCTCATAGAATGTTCATCAGAAAACAAAGTTTCTATCTACTCTTTCTTCCAAGACTTCAACTCCTACCATTGACATCATGACTCTCAGTTCTATTCCCCTTGCCCTGCCCACTCCCCTGAAATCCAACCACCACCTAGGTATCTCAATTTGGCTGTCCTTCCATCAACTCAAATTTGGCTGACAGAGTTTTGGATTCTAGAGCATGCAGGCATTCTGTATGTGCTGTGCCTTTGCACTCACTCTTTCCTCCAGACCCCATCCTTCTTCACTTGGCCAGTTCCTACTTCTCTCTTAAGATTCAGTTTAGGTACAGGCTCCTTTAGGAAGTTTCTTTTGACTCTTCCTAGCCCAGGCTCAGTTCCTCTACTATATTAATCTGCAGTATCATGCACTAGCACAAAATATTTGCTGAATGAAAGAATGAGAGTTAACTTTTAGTCAGGCATAAAGATAAAAAACCAAAGTCTTTCACTCTGGTGTTGAGTGTTTTCAGGATTCCTACCAAATAGGAAGGTGTTTGATTCTTCAAACTCAGAAACACCTCCCTTTAACTGATGGATTCTTCAAACTCAGCATCAGTTAGAGGGCATTAGGGCACTTTTCAAACCCTGCATTCTGGGAAGATGTCTGTTGTGGGGTGATCTGGCCCACTAGGCCTGAGCCAAGGTTCTGGGCAGTTCTGTTCAGTTACACATGCATGTGTTGAGCACTGATGCAAGCCTGGGCTGGGCACTAGGCATGGCTTCAGATATTAGGTACATATTCTGTTTTCCTTGCCTTAAGATAACCAGTCTAGTAGGAGCCACTGAGGCCCCTTTTTGAGCCTAGACTTTGCATTCAAACATACCCTGGTTCTAATCCAGTCATCTATTGGCAGTGACCTTGGGCAAATCATAGTCTCTCCAAGCATTACTTTTCTAATTGAAACAAGAACCTCTCTCTACACCCCAGATTTATTTTGAGGATTATGAGTTAATTCATAGTTAAAATGCCTAGCGCCTAACAGCATATAACCCACACATACTTTTCAATTGCGCATTACTTAAAAGAAGAATGATTTCCTACAGGAGGTGCTAGGGCTTCTACTGGCCAAGGGCTGATGGCTGATTCAGAGCCTCAATTAACTAAATAGATTAAGCATATCTAATTGGTCACCGGAAGTGGTCCATGAAGCTGTAGCAATGGGAAGGTGTCAGAGCAGGGGGTGGGAAAGAGACATGGTGAGAAACGTGTGTGTCCATAGTGGAGGGGAGCTCTTAGGATGTCTACAGATTTCCAAGACAATAATTGAAACGAACAAAGGCAAGGGATGACCAATAAGAGCTTCATTTCTTTCCTTTGTTACCCTTCCCTTGTTCTTCAGCCCCAGCCATGCCCAGACACCACAGTGAAGCCTCTGAACACAGGGGTTTGAACCAGGGCCTCTCCCAGTCTTTTCCAACTCTGATACCCTGGAGTTCTCAGAAGCTTCCATAAATTTTGGCTGAAGAAGGCACAGTAAACTTGCCAGCTGGTTTCTTACCTTTAACTCAGCCATTTTTTCTGTCTTCTATGTGTGATGACTTCAGGAAACCCAGGCCCAGAGGATATAAAGCCACAATGCTTCTTTCTCCTTCAAACCACTCTTTGGATATTCTGGTTCCCACTGCTTCACTGCGCTTCACTGGTCAGCATGTCACTCAAACTAGCTGAAAGAATTGCCTAACTCATACATAGGGACAAAGTCCAGCAAGCTTATTGAACAAGTTACACAAATGCTTTTGGTTTTTACAGTTTGTTCCTAAGTGTTTGCAGAGGCTTCACTCCTCTTCACCTGAGGTACAGATTGACCAATTATTTGTTCCAGTTAAAAATAGGCTTATTTCAAAAGGCAGAGAATTTGAAGCTATCAGGGAAAGGAACTGTGGCAGATAGTGCCTGCTGTGTGTGGTGGAAGATTCTCTGCTCAGTCCTGACTCAGGTTAGGAAGGAACAGGGCAGTGCTGAGTCTCCTGGAGAGCAGTGAGAACACCCCCAGACGTTTACCAGCTGCAGATGTTTACACTGGGGTAAGATGTTTACACACAGCCACCTGAAGACAGGGACCGGGACCAGAATCAGTTTTCTGCAGGTGCTTCCCAGGAATGGGCTCAGGTTCTTGTTTGAATCATTCAGAGCCTGAAACATTTCACTTAGAGCAAACTGAGATGTTTCCTACTGCTCCTTTTAATTTCTTAAAGTACATTTAGTTTTCTTATACATTCTTTAAGAGTTTTGTTTCCTAATGCCTTTATACTTCTAAAACAGACCAAGGGATTACTTTCCAGCCACCTCCTCTATGACTCCCTTGCTCTTCATCTTGGCCGCTCTCCTTGGTCATTGGCAGGTAGCAGCTTCATGACTAGTGGTGTTCAGAAAGGGGAAAACATATACTGAGTGCCTGCTTTTGTTAGATTTTTCCATATCGAATTCCACAAGAACAATCTTGTAAATTAGGCATTATCACAACTCAAATGCCAACAGACGAGGAAGTGTAAATGAATAAAGTAGGCTAGCTGATTTTTCAAGATAAGATGAAGCTCCAATTTTTAAACATTGGCAATTAGAATGAGAGAGAGAGAGAGAGAGAAAACACCCTGTGGTTGATGGCAAAAATGCCCAAATTCCTCTTGTACACTATCGAAATGAGGACTCAGAAACTCTGATTACGGGAGCAATTAGGAGCTCTTTGCCTCAGTCTGATGTCCCTGCACATCAGTTCCATGAAGTCCATTTTCAGAATGAACAGAAAAACAACAGTGTCAGGGCACCTGGATTATATCATGAATGCCTCAAGTTTGAGGAATTCTAAGAACCCGAGCTAAAGCTAATATGGATCAATTCTTTCGGAAATAGCTTTTCTTAGAGCACTGTAGGGAAGAAGAGCTTGCTTTCTTCACACATCACTAGGTTCACAAATGAGGCACCTATAACAAAAGACAGATTATTGAGAAAAGCACACAAATGTATTTACCGTAAGTTTTACATGACAGGAATCTTCAGAAATGAAGACACAAAAGAAACAGGAAAACTTGCGTATTTTTATGTACAGTCTCATGCAGAAGTATAATCAGAGGACAAAAGGACATAATCTAATGGTAATAAACTGGAGAACTTAGTAAGTCCTATTTGTCCAGATTCTTCTTGGTGTTTCTGTATCTGTGAGGATATAGGGTACCTATGGAATGAAGGTTTTATGATCTACTTCAGGGGACAGTCACTTAGGTTTTATGGCCTGCTTCAGGGGAGAAGGGGTAAGAGGAAGGTATGAGAAACCTTGCTTCTGCAGTTTTCTCAAATATCAGGGTACAATATATTGGGGTTGTGTGTCCTGAATCCCATCAACATTAAGATGGAGAGACCAGCCCAAATCTTTAGTTGGATTCCAACTAAGTCTTATCCACCCAAGGAACAGAGGAGTCATAGATACGCCTTCACATCTGGTCACCTTCATTGGTTAGATACTGAAATCACAACAGGAAAAAAAAAAAAAATCTTTATTGCTACCAACTTGTCCCATCAAGAGAGTAATATATACATATGTAAAGAGATGGAGTCCCACTCTATCATCAGGCTGCTGGAAAGCAGTGGTGCAGTCATGAATCACTGCAGCCTCAAACTCCTAGGCTCAAGTGATCCTTCTGCCTCAGTCTCCTAGAGTGCTGGGATTATAGGCGTGAGCCAGCACCCAGCCAATTACACTTTTTAAAAAATATTTTGACATTTATACTTGTTTATTATCTAAAAGCATTTTTTACCAATAGTTCTCAAGAAGTCCTAGCAAAAATTATGCTTCATGCTTTTTTGAAGAACTCTAGCTAATAACATTCATTTGTGCAAAAGCCTTATTATGCTGCTGCTAATAATTTAAACAAATTTACCTTAGATTATTAAAAACTATTTTTTTCTTAGAAAACCATAATTCAAGGAATCAAGCTTGGCTGCAGAAAGAAATAGAGTTGAGGAATACTGGTAATTTTTCCAGATTGACCCTGGAGTCATCAGCAATGGTTTATTTATTTACTTATTTATTTAAGATGGAGTCTCACTGTGTCACCCAGACTGGAGTGCAGTGGCATGATCTTGACTCACTGCAACCTCCACTTCCCAGCTTCAAGTGATTCTCCTGCCTCAGCCTCCCGAGTAGCTGGGATTACAGGTGTGTGCCACCAGGCCTGGCTAATTTTTGTATTTTTAGTAGAGACAGTGTTTTGCTATGTTGGCCAGGCTGGTCTCAAACTCCTGATCTCAAGTGATCCACCCACCTTGGCCTCCCAAAGTGTTGGGATTACAGGGGTGAGCCACCGCACCTGGCCTATTTTTATTTTTTAAATAAGATAGAAAATAAAAAAATCAGGGTGAATTTTTTTTTAAATTAAAAGAAAGAGGAAGAAAGCATAGGGAAGGAAGGCATTTGATTTATTTCTTAAAGGAGAAATACAAAGAGCTTTAGTTGGGTTAGGTCTCTGTGTAGCATTTCGTTTCCACTTCCCAACTCTATAGCCTATCCCACAACACATTTGTGATCAATTCTACACATAGACCATGATCTGCATAGCTTTCCTTTGTGTCAAAAAGAAACCAGGGCTATGTCCTTTCAAAGAGGAAGTAAAGAAAGGCTGGAGAACAGTCTAGCTGATGAAAGCTGCTTTAAAAAAGCCATAAAAAAGGATGAGTTTGTGTCCTTTGTAGGGACATGGATGCAGCTGGAAACCATCATTCTCAGCAAACTATCGCAAGAACAGAAAACCAAACACCGCATGTTCTCACTCATAGGTGGGAACTGAACAATGAGATCACTTGGACTCGGGAAGGGGAACATCACACACTGGGGCCTATCACGGGGAGGAGGGAGGGGGGAGGGATTGCATTGGGAGTTATACCTGATGTAAATGACGAGTTGATGGGTGCTGACGAGTTGATGGGTGCGCACACCAACATGGCACAAGTATACATATGTAACAAACCTGCACGTTATGCACATGTACCCTAGAACTTAAATTAAAAAAAAAAATCCTTTTCCAAATTCCCAAGACTGCCTTTCTAAAAGGACTCTCTAACATTCTTATTTTAATATTCTCTTGCAGCACACCTTGATTTCCAAGGTACTTCTGAAACCTAATTAAAATGGAATAGAAAGTGAATTTGGTGTTTTCTACCTAGGTTTTAAATGAGAAATGAAAACTGTATATTTATTATTATTATTTAAAAGTATGGAGCAAAATCAGGAGTGCAGACCTGCAGCAGAGCCAGAGAGAGAATATGAGTGATAAAGTGTTGAATAAATTGTTTTTAGAAATCAAATTCACATACTAAGGAAGAACTGGGGCAGAGAAGATTAAGCAAGCAAAAAGATAGGTTAAAAAAATGATGAACAATTATGGACACACACACATACACACACACACACACACACACCCCACCCCCAAAAAGCTTTGGAGTGATTATGAAATCCAAGAATCCTAGTTCATAATTCATGTAAATGTGTTGCTGTGGAACTTATTTTTACTTCTCTCTATAAATACATTGTTGACACAAGAATAATATTCTTAGTTTTCTGACTATAGCTAAGGGACATTTCAGGAGTTGACTTTTCCTTAAAAAAAAAAATGGAGAGGAGGCTGTACATCTCTCTCATTGCCCTTGCGCAGGTATTAGATTTTGCCCTACCTATTTCCAAACAGAAAGCCTAGACTGCATACAGCAACAACCTTAAGAGTGAGGGAGTTGCCAATTTTTTCACATCATTTTACCAGAATTCTTTTTTTCTGGTATTGCTGTTCTCTATGTATTATTAATTTGTATTTATATTTAACTCTGGCTATCAGTCCACCTCTTCCAGTCACTGAGCCATTTGCAAAGGAGAGAAGAGGGAGCCAAGGGTAGATATTATTAGGCATTCCTGTGTGTGACGAGGGTGGAGACAAATAACACGATCTTGCATCTTTGAAAATGACAAAGATTGTTTGGGGTGGACAACTCAGGGCTGGTTAACAAGGCCTTTTCCCTCAAGAAGGTAAAACAATGGAGATACATTTTTGAAGTACTTAATTAAGCTTTCAGCAATGTGTGGGGAAAAAGTACAGACCCGTAAAAACCCTCCCGTTGTAGGCAAGAGTAAATTTTCTCTGCAGTACACTGTCATTGCTCATTTACTGCATCATTTTGACAACATCTCATATTTCCACAAGGCTTTTACATAATCTATACACAGGGACAGAAAGGTAAGGAACACAGAGAACAGGGACAAAGTTTGGACCTCCCGTGTTGTCACTTCCTATCATTTTTCCATTAAAGGGTGAGGCTGAAGGGTAGCATTTAAGATGATTTCATTAAAAGGCTGTGATGGTAATAACTGAACACAGCAAGAGGAAAGCTGTGAAAAACTGCCACTGCTTGCTCACTCTTCCAAAGGATGAGTGTAACTCAGTCATAATGAAGGCTCTTTAATGTTCCTGCCCCGAATCTTTTCCGATCAGGAAAGCCTGGAATCTGTAGGCAAGAAAGATAATTATATTAAGTCTCAAGCAATAAAAGTTCAAATACTAATAGTAATTTTTCCCTTCTTTTCCATTTCTGTATGGCAGCGTGTTGTTCCTTAAAAAAAAACCAGCTTTCTGAGGTTTTACTCAGAAAGCCTCAGATTAAATAATAAAAATAAATTTTACCAAAATGGAAAACATTTGCCAACAAATTGGTGATAGTGTCATCCAAATCAGAAAGAATGAAGGTAAATCTCATAATACCTACTAGACTTTTATATAAATTATTTGTATTGTGACAGACCCTGAATGTATACTCTTGGAGTCCCAAGCAAATTATTTTCTTCTTCTATTTTATAACACAATCTTATTTCTAGATTATTCTTGTTTCCTAGATCCTTATTTTCCCTTTGTTCTGATTTTCCCCTTTTGTATTTAACAGGATAGAAGGAAATCAGTTGCTTGTGCCTACAAAGGGCTTTTCCCAACTTTTTAAAACTACTTCTGAACTTAAATTTGGAAATCACCTATCTAAATTTAAGAATCTATTTTATCAAGAAAAGATAGATACCAACCTGATTACCTTCTCTTAAAAAGTATCTCTTCTCTATGACCTGTGAAAAACAAAGATTTTAAAAGCTTAGCACACATACCTGCAAAAAGTGGCTAACTGAAACAATCACTAATGGTACTAAAAGGAATATATGCAAACTAAGAATCTTTTCCACAGCAGTAGACATGTAGTAGAGTGAGCTAAAAATCTGGTGTTAATTAGATCAGAATTGTGGGAGTATTTCCATAGAAGCCTGCCTCATTCCAAAACGCATTATGAGATCAAAAAATAAATAAATAACAAAAACTAAATAATGACAGAATGACATAAGAACCCATGCAATTCTTAGAGTATGGCAGCAAATCTGACTCTAAGTTTCCTAGCAGTCAGTCCCAAAAGGTACTAACCAGAATCCATAAGATAAAAAAAGCACTTGCCTGCTACAATAGTCTTGTCTATTTCTTAAAGAGGGGACTGTTTAACATAGCAAACCACCACATCCCTATAGTAAGTGGTGGAAAATTCTATATGTCCTCAATATAGACAGATGACACAACATCAAAAGCAGTCTAATGACTGTTGTAGAAAAAACAAGTTCAAGCAGTAGATGTACCTGCACAAATCCATCACCATTATTGAAAAGAAACCCTCAAAATATATGTTCAAATGTAATGAGTTTAAGAACACCATGTTTTCATATTTTTCCCCAAACTGCTGTGAACACTAAAGAGCACTATGTTTTCAGATGATGAAAAACATTTTCAAGAAAAATAAATTCTGTTCTGACACTTCAGAAACTGCAGTGGTTACAGAGGAAGTATTATAAATGTCTCTGATTTAGGATGGCTTGACTACGATTTTTTGACTTTATGGTGGTGTGAACGCAACATGCACTCAGTAGAAACTGTACTTTGAGTGCCCATACAATAGGCATTTTTTTCACTTTCAGTATAGTATTCAATAAATTACATGAGTCATTCACAACTTTTAATAAAATAGGCTTGCATTAGATGATTCTGCCCAACTGTAGGCTAACGTAAGTGTTCTGAGCATGTTTAAGGAAGGCTAGGCTAAGCTCTGATGCTTGGTAAGTTAGAGTGTAATCAATGTATTTTTGGACTAACAACGTTTCCAATTTACATGGGGGTTTACTGAAAATAACCCTATCGCAAAGTTGAGGAGTAATCTGTATTTCCTTACACAGACGTGCTGTGATAAGAAAAGTTATCGGATAATGATACAGATCAGGTGGAGATGAACTCTAAGACATTTCGAATCTGCAATTACGCAGCTAAGGAGTTCCTCTGATTAGAACAGAGCATGTTCTTCTAAGGCCAAGGCCAGCTTGCTCTCTCTGGTACGACAGCGATTCATTTCAGATTTTTGCTGTTTTAAAACCTATAGCTTGGATTATGTTGTGCCACAAGGACACCAGGGCAAGTTTCATTTCACTTCTCCTAGAGGTAGAAAAGTTGGTTTATCATTAGTGTACATCTATAAACAATCCCACAAAAAACCTAGAAGGAGAACTGATTCCCTTTCCTTGTCTATGGCAGGACAGGAAAATCTGATTATTCTGGAGTGTGAGGAGTACTATTAGAAGGAGTTAGACTTCCTTTTGGAGAAGAAATCTTTTTTTTTTTTTTTGAGATGGAGTCTTGCTCTGTCACCCAGGATGCTGGGAGGGCAGTGGCACGAACTCGGCTCACTGCAAGCTCCGCCTCCCGGGTTCACGCCATTCTCCGAGTAGCTGGGACTACAGGTGCCCACCACCGCGCCCAGCTAATTTTTTGTGTTTTTAGTAGAGATGGGGTTTCACTGTGCTAGCCAGGATGGTCTCGATCTCCCGACCTTGTGATCCGCCCGCCTCGGCCTCCCAAAGTGTTGGGATTACAGGCGTGAGGCACTGTGCCTAGAAGGAGAAGAAATCTTTATGCTAAATTCTGGAAGAACTGATGTATAGAAACTGGGTGAAATTTGGTTGTCAGCTCCTTTGATTTCAGGCAACCACCTCAGTCTGGAGGTCTGGCCAACCTCCTAACCTACATACATTTTGTTGTGATTCAGGCAATAAAAAGAGAAGTTACCTTTTTGGTTTTGGTCATAATTCTTTACCCCTGACTTGCAGCGTGTACTCCTGATTTTTTAAAAAATAAAGCCTTGCCTGACAACTTGGATTTTACCAGTCAATAATCCAGTTTCTCTAGGATGTAATTTAGTATATCTTATTTTTTAATTTTAGAACTAATAAAAATTTAAATTTAAACAACATACTGTGGGATCTTCCCAGGTCAGGGCAGATCTGTAAGATGTTGCTCATAGGGGACAAAATTTTGTATTGATGCGGCCACGGATCTAAACCAAATGGAAATTCTTACATTTTAAGTTTGAAAGCAATGTGGAGAGAAAATCTGGCTCCTTGCAGTGCCGCAAAACATTTTTCATGTCATGGCACACGTAGAAAATGCTAATATTTGCACAGCACACTGGGGAAAATGGAAGAGGCTGCCAATCACCCAACCCCCACCCTGAGGGCTCTGGCTGCTCTGAGAATGGAGGGAAAATCAGTATCTAGGCACATCTGTACCCTATTTGCCACATACCAGTTAAGAAGTTTTGCAGTGAGGCAAAATATTCCTAGTGGCCTAATATTAATCGAGGAGGGTACTCGAGCTTATCTAACGCTGACAAAAAGGCCGAATATTAAATCCCAAATTAACTAAACCTGGGGCTTATCTAATGCTGAACAAAAGGGCCAAATATTAAATCCCTAAACAGTTAAAAGAAAAAAATGATTGCTAAAGAAGAGCTATGGGGAAGATGATTTTCTTAGGAGATGTCACTTAAAAAGAAATATAACACAGGAGTTAACCTTTTTCAATAATACAGGCAGAAAGATCCTATTTTACCTTACTATGCAATGTCAGCATTGGGTAAACAACTTAAACTTGGTCAATACTATGTGCAATGCAGTTGTATGGCCTTGTGAAGGAAAGACAAACAGTGCTCAAATTTACCAGTACGCTGAGTCATTCTACATTTTCCTTCCAGTTGAGGACAATAAAATGATGTTAGCAGAGAGTCAATAATTGGAATGCAAATATTTCTGAGAGGGAAACACTAGGAAATCTAGAAGATGACATTACCTTAAAAGGTAACAGTAACATTTATGTGGAGAATATTAACAGCTGGGAGAGCAAAAAGAACTCAGGGCTTTAAGCAGAATCTCCTCAGTTCAGTGCCTTTATGTGGGTGGGAGGGTGAATAAGTGAAAAAGAGAGCTAGAAAATGGGTAAATAGAAATTATTTTAAGGAGAGGAATTAGATATCTTTTTAAAACCCCCATTTAAATCCAGTAGCTTTTACCCTTTACTTAGAGAACACTGGTGATGGAATAAATATGTCAGCAGGCGTTGGGCAATTATACCAACAGATAAGAGAGACCAAAACAAGTATTAGTCAGGCTGTGAAATTTTGGACAAAAAAAATAAAGGGTCACAGGATTCTACAAAAAAATTTTAAACTCTCATGATATATAAATTAAGTTTAAAAATAACTTAATTGAAGCCATTACCTTATCAAAAAACCTACTGAGCTTGACAGCATTGGAAGAACCTGCAGCTAAGTACCGTGGATTTGTGCAGTCCTAGAAGATAAAACATAAGATCCACAAGTGAAAGTTATGAAACCCAAGCTCTTTGCTATTCATAACTCATCCTGTTGCACATTTCTATAGGCATAATAATGTTAGGTATAATACTCTCGTAAAATATTCAAATAATTTTCAAATTATGGTGCACAAAGCAAGGAGGAAAGTACTAAAGGAAAATACGGTCACTTAATCTTTGTCATTTAAACAATTTTAGAGTATACCAAATCAATGTATTCATCATCAAATAATTCACAGAGGAAGACAAGATTACTAATATTTCACTAATAACAAAACCAAGGTACTAATGGAGTGACCTACCTACATTTACCCTGAAAACCAGAGAGACAGCCATGAAAAACAGTAAGCGTTTCACTTTTGTACTCGTTATTCACCAGTGCTCAACTAATTTAGTACCATGCAGTTCATATGAACTGCAGAAAGCATGAAAATAAGGATTTAGAGGCGCAAAGAACAAACAGAACAATTGCCAAGGATTTCTCTTTGGATGCAAGGTACTACACCTTTTGGTAGGCCACAAAGATATATTATTTTTGGTAATAAACATCTACTACTATCGTTTGATAATAAAGATATATTACTACTCTTGGATGGAAGTTTTTTATAGGGAAAAAAAATGGGCCCAGAAGGGACAGAACAATCTGGAACATTAATCATTACAATAACTTTAAAACCTTAAAAGGCCTACTATTCGATGGAATCCCAGTGTAGCTGTTTTGTTTTTTGCTTGTCACTATTGACTTGTCACCTTGTGAGACAGAGTACTTTGATTTTTACCTGAAATGTACCTAAGACCAAACTATAAGGGCTACCATGTAAGCTCCTTTGCAAGCATGAAATTTTATCGTTTAGCTATACACCCTCTGTGCCCCTAGAAATTACTAAAATTACTGTTGTTACATTTATTCTGTTTTTGTAATCTCCAGGCCCACAGGATTCCTTTCTAATGAAGCCTCCTATTTTATTCATATGCAACATTCCAAGGCTCACATTTTAAATTTTGGCCAGAAATTATAATACATTCTCCAAAACTACAAAAAAGAGAGGCTACAACAAAGTTGTCAAAGATCACAGAGTACTAGAAATCAGGAGTCTTCAAAGCCAGCAAGCTCTAAATCGGAATACCTATTCCAACATTTCTACTCTGTGTAACATTGGTTAGGTAACTAAACCTTTAAATTTGGGCTTACTGATTTGTGGAATGGGGATAACAATATTTTATCTGATGGGATTTTTGTGAAAAATTAAATAATCCATACCTGGATACAGTGGGTAGTAGAACATTAGTCCTTCTCTCTTCAATCTAAGAAAATGCTAGCAGAGTGAATTTTCAAGCACAACAAGCACTTACCATAATAAAGATAATTCCACATATGGATTATATAGACTGAAACACTGTTGCACAAACTATGGTATTTGAAATAGCGTTTGAACACATTTCTACAGCAATTGGGGCATATAAGAGACAAACCTTAGACCTGTGGTAGAAACGTTTTATAAAATAGATATTGATTAGCTAGTCATCAGAATGTCAAAAGTTTGAGACAATTCTAAATAGAGCTGAAGTACTACATACAAAAACTAAAGCAAACAAAAACACACCCCCAAAACCTTAATTCTATGGTACCATAATTTCAGGTTGAGCAGCCTAGAGAAACACTATGATTTTTGGGATGAGAAATTTAGAGCTGAAAGAGTCATCTGCCATTTATCATGGCTGAGGGAAAAGTCTGAAAATTAATAGCTCCAAATAGCTTGTCTGAGCTTGAGAAAGGACTATTAACCAGGGAAGATACTTCAATATGATCACTTCAAAGTAAATACATAACAGAGAAAATTTTTTACGGGGTACAATAAGCCTAACAGGATTTTAGAAAATAAGTAATCGTTCACCTATTTATAATTTAAACAATTTGCATTTATTCAGGCAGTTATTTATTAACTTTGATTCCACCTTTGATGTATACATTTGTTAATTCTTACTTTTCTACAGTTTCAAGTAAATTTATACAGTAACTGATGTTAGCACTAATATTGTTACATTAGTTTTTATTTGAGGCTTTATATTTAATTGCTGAATCTTTTTGATGGCTATTTCTTTTTGAAACTCTCATATTCAATCTTCTTCCTCATTTTTTCCTCCCTTCATTCTCCGAACCTCTCCTAGTCTTATTTGTGCTGTGTTCTTGAAGCTGTACACTGATAAAGGCCAAAAACATGTTATATTTGAACTCTTTGGGGACTGTGTGTGCTGAAGTCTCACTAACTGAGTACCTTTACATCTGACTTACAGTTAAAAGAAGGCCTTGGCTTTGTAAGGCAAGTAGGAATAACACACACACACAGACACACACAGACACACAGGCAATTATCACAGAAACCCACAAGCACTAGAAACAGATACATTCTAAAATATATTAAAAGTAAGCACTGGAACAAATTAAGTGTTTTCAATGGTAAATTTCCCTTTGGAAATAATGTTCAAAGTAATCTCAGCACTTCTTCAACAAGAATATTGTATATCTATATAGCAAGAATCCTTTGGAATATCATGGTTCAGTGCTGACTACCTGGGGTATGCCCATCAATATTCCATTGTGGCAGCTGAGAAAAATAAGGGGCTCTCCACTGCAAAGCAGAATGTAAAAAACAATGGAATGATAGGCAGAAGCTGGGGGTAGAGGTGGGGCTGAACCAAGCAGTGTTCACAAACGTTGATTCACAGAACAAGGCATCAGAATCACCTGAGTTATTTGTTAGACCTACAGATTCCTGGTCCTCCTGCCAGGCTTTATGAATAAAAAGCTCCAGCTGTGGGGCAGTTATTCAAAATTTTCCATAGGTACTATTGGTAATATAAATACACAATCCGATTTGGGTAACTGTTGGTCTAGATGATTTCTACGAGATTTTTCAGCCGCCAGATTCTCAAGGTGAGTTGAAGGATTAATTAAGTGGAAAAGAGGCTTAACTGTAGAGCACAGGCTCTGAATCTGAATACCCCATTTGACCTGGGTAACCTTCCTTGGTCTTGTTACCTCTCTCCTTCTTGTCTTCATCATTAAGAAGAGGACAGTAATAGTATCTGTCTTATAGAGTTGATTGTGAAGATGATGCATGTGAGATCATATATGTAAATAACTAAAACAGTTTTCAACCCCTAAGTGCTCAACAAATGTTGGTCACTAGTACTATTACACCACCACCACTGCATTTCTGGAATGCCAGTGCACAGTTGCAGAAATCCTATTTGTGAACAACAACATGACCATGACTGAAGTTGCTGGCCAGGATCTTTTTCTGGGATCCTAACAGGCTTACATGACAACCATTTCTTAGCTTTTTTAAGCACTCAGTTCTAATTGAGCTAGTTATCTTATCAAGGGACTCAATCCTCTATATATGCATAAGCGTACATAAATTAGTCCTTATGAAGCACTCCTAGTTTAAAGTTTGTAATTTTTTCATGTATCTGTTGGGTTGCCCTTTAAGGTAAAATTTGTAGTTTAAGAAGCTAAGAGGCTTTTTACAAGCAATAATAATAAACTTATAATGCCACTTTAATCAATTTATTTTAATTTTGGTGTGATTTTTAAAAACTTTCTCAAGAAAAAGTCCATGGACCAGGTGCAGTGGCTCACGCCTGTAATCCCAGCACTTTGGGAGGTCAAGGCGGGCAAATCCCTGGCAGTCAGGAGTTCAAGACTAGCCTGGGCAACATGGCAAAACCCCATCACTACTAAAAATTAGCTGGACATGGTGGTATATGCCTGTAATCCCAGCTACTCGAGTGGCCTAGGCATGATAATTGCTTGAACCCAGTAGGTAGAGTTTGCAGTGAGCTGAGATCACGCCACTGCACTCCAGTCTGGGTGACACAGCGAGACTGTCTCAAAAAAAGAAGCCCATGATTTAAATTATTCATAGAATAAAGTTGGAACATTCCAACAGATCAACATAAAAAGCTGAAGTGACTGTGCACATCTCTCAGTCTAGATATGTTGATTCCAATCTTGACTACATTTTGGACTAGAATCCAAAAAGCCTGATTTCAAGTATAAAGTTTCTTTCACTAGAATATATAATTTGAACATGTCTTTAGTTTTGACTTTACGTGATAATAATACAAGCATGCATTAGTGAAAATACACACCAAATTAATTTCTTCTGGATTGAAATCCTCAGCCAGGAAAGCAGTCCTAGTTAAAACTTCATGGCGCTTTGTTTCATGAATCTGGTCCAGCTTAGTCCCTATTACCAACAGCGGTATTTGGTTATCAGCAAACTGTTCTCGATCATAATCCCTGTGATAAATAATAATGAAGAGGTGAAGAGAATTTACCTTTCTGATGTAGATGTGTAATATTTAAATGCAACTAACTTAAACTATTTTACTGAAAATTAACTGATTTTTGCTGCCTTCACCTATAAATCCACTTTCCTTCCAACTTCTTCCATCTACTTGTTCTTTTATCAATCCATCCTCATCATCTATCAAATTCCAGCTATTCATCTAACTTCTCAAAATTTGGTTCCATGTTTTTATTGAATGTTGAATAATACTGAATAATTGAACAACTAAGTGCCCATCAAGTATATTATAGTCAGTGGACTTGACTTCCAATGTAGCTCTGTCTTCTAAGGCTAACATAACAACTCAGGAATGTTTCAGAGTAGAAGCAGAGAGTGGATTTAAGTCTCTGTGTAGCGAAAACCCAAAAGCCTAGCATAGTGTGCTGCAAGACAAAATGGCAAGCTTCTTGGGTACCTTTTGGGGTATGCATTCACTCTGTATCTACAATACACATTTCTGTCTGAATAGTAAAGAAATAAGAAGAATAAGAAAATAGAAATAAGGAAGCTGAAACCCAGAATAAATCAAATATAGGTGATACTATAGCCTGAGAAAGGTGGGTTAAACACATGGAAATGGAAGGAAACAGCTGAAATGCAAAATGAATAGTAAAAGGAAAGAACTTAGTACCAAGTAGTTGTTTCCTGAAATGAGAGCCATGGGAGATAGAGGACGGGCAATAAGAATCACTTAGGGTTAGTGGCCTTGGATCACTGGCTATTATAATCCTTACTTTTAAAAAAAATTATTTATCCAAAGAACAGAGTGGTGATGTAAATTAAACTTTTCATTACTGAAAAGAACACAGAGGCCATTGCTGTTGAATTAATTTAAATTCTACTCACATATTAGAAATAAAGCAGATTTGGATTTCTGACACATCATAAGCTCAATTTACAACAGTCAGCAAAATCTGGTTGTGCACAATTTATGACAGTAAATCAATATTGCATAATCCAATCACTATAACCCAGTTAAGCAAAGCTTTTTTTCTTCCTTTAACACTACCTTTTCTTTCTCTTAGAGAAATTCTAAATTGGGGTAGGGGGCAAAGTTACTAAGTATTTATGTCCTTCACAATAATCTTACAGAGCCTCAACAAACTGTTCAGCCTCAGAACACAACTGTTTTAAATATATAACCTCCCATCTCACAAAAATATTACCATTCTATTTATTGCATCAAAGTCAATAATAGCATGATCAAGACCTTTGATTATTCATACCAACAGCAACCCTAATTAAAGAGACATGGTTCAAAGCTGCAATTCGCTTTGTTAGGGAATAAAGTTTTGAGCGTGTCTTTTGTTTAGGACTGTTTCCTTCTGTCTCACATACAAATTTTTGCATATCTTCTATCAAATACCATCTTTGATGTACATACATCTCTCACATAGTCTTGCACAATTCCTAGCACATTGACACATATAAAGCATACATATATAGTTTGCTCTCTTATTTCTCTTTTTAGGTTTCCTTTTATCTTTTTCATAAAATCTTGCAGCATCCAATTTAAAATTTAATCTTGAAATCTTTTCTAGTAACCTTCTGAAGGACTTTATCATGGATGGATAAGGCTGATAACTCCTTAACATCACAGAGAGACACACAGCCAGGTATCATATTATATGCGTAATACTGGGTGGAAAAATAAAGACAAAAAACTTGCATCTTTCAGATCACTATATTTAATTATCACTTTAGAGAAGATTTAGAATTCAGAGAAACAAGTTTAAAAGACAATACAGGCAGACAATCAGCAAATCCAGAATATAGGAAACTGTACAAGACAAACAGCCATCTTCTTCTACAAATAAACTGCTAGGAGGTTGGAAAAAAAACAACTAAGAAGGAAGAACCTAAGATTTGACTCTTAAGAAACGAAATACAATCAGAGGACTTTATTTAGATACTGTTTCAAAAAAATCAACTACAACATTTATGAGACAATTGGGGAAATTAAAATAATATTTGGTTATTAAAGAATTATTATTAAAGTTTTGGCTGTGATAATTATATGCTGTCATGTTAAAAAAAAAAAAAAAAGCCCTTATGTTTTGAAGTATATATGGATGAAATGATAGGATGTTTTAACATTTGGTTCAAAATAATCCAGTTGAGAGTGGGAGAAGATAGAAAGTAGGTAGAGATATGGATGAAACAAGACTGGCTATATGTTGATAATTGTTGAAACTAGGTGGCAGGTATATGGGAGTTCATTTTCCATTCTTCGTATTTACATACGTTTAAAATTTTCTATAATAAAAAATTAAAATTTATTGTGGTAAAAACCACATAACATTTATCTAAATTGTTTAAATATGGCTAAAAACTCAATCTGATATAAAAGATATATATGCTAAGCAGTCTTGCTCCTACCACTGCACCCATCCACCCATTTCCCCTGGCCCCCTATAGGTTATCATTTTTGTTAGTTTCTTATTTATCTTTTCACTGATTCTTTATCCAAATATAAATACATATTCTTATTTCTTTCCTTTCTTACACAATAGAAGGTATATGATACATATTCTCTGCATTTTGATTTGTTAAACCTAATAATGTACCCTTTGTAGATCTTTCTAATTTAGTTCATAGAGATCTTCCTGATTATTTTTCAAATGTTGAATACTACTCCAGTATGTGGATATGTCATTATTTAGTCTATGAATCTTTTGTTGCTCTGACACTAGGGTTGTTTCCAAATCTTTTGATGCTATAAAATAATGCACCAACAAAGCACACCAATGTATTAAGGTTGTTTTATACATTTGCAGGTTTATCTATAGGATCAAAATGAAGCTGTACTGTAAAAATGCAAATGGATACAGAATTTTTACTGAATTCCCTCACACAAATACAGATTTCTTTCTGATATGAATATGCTGTCTCCTAATCCTAAATTTAAAGATAAGTTTCTTAAGTAGAAATTTTAGTAGAAAATAGAGAACAAGCTAGGTTAATGAAGACATCAGTGATGAAAGGAATTGAGATAGGAAACAAGAAATATCAACTAGGCTTTGAAATATAGGTTTTAAATTAGTTGTGCTTATTCTTTATTAGGTATTGCAGGAATCTACATATATATACTCAAACTTATATTACATTTAGGTTTCATTACATAACAATTAGACTTCCACACAGAAAACAAAGTCTTTGAAAGACTTGCTTCAATCAAAAAATAGAAAATGGGGTTCTGTTCTAGGTAAGACAGAATAAGCAAACTCTATTTTGTCTTTCCCAGTGAATGCAGCTAAAAAACCTGGACAGGATGCATGAAGTGGCTATTTGAAGACTCTGAAAAATTCATAGTGAGCATCTTGAGGAAGACCGCAATGTGAAGAACCATTGAATTAGCAGTTCCCTTCCATATCCCCTTGTCTGAATGCAACTCAGCTTAAAACTCAGAAGTGAGAACAGAAAACTCCAGAAGGCGGCCTGCAGTTCTGGCTCATGAAACAAGAAAGGGGGCTCCCGAATACTTGGAGATAGCGTAGAAATACAATATTTTTCCTTCTGTTGTAAGCCAGCCTCTGAGCAATTTCATGATAGTTGTGGCAAAGGCGGTAACACAAGCAGAATGCTCAAAAGCAACAACAGTCCCCAACCTTGTTGGTACCAGGGACTGGTTTCATGGAAGACAATTTTTCCATGGACAGGTGTTTCAGGATGAAGCTGTTCCACCTCAGATCACCAGGCATTAGATTCTCATAAGGAGCCTGCAACCTATATCCCTCACACGCACAGTTCACAATAGGATTCATGCTCCTATGAGAATCTAACGCCTCTGTTGATCTGACAGGAGGTGGTAATGCCCACTAACCTGCCACTCACCTCTCACTGTGTGGCCTGGTTCCTAACAGGCCATGGACCAGGGGTTGGGAACCCCTGCTTATGAGTACAGAGGAAGGGAAATTTTTCCAATTGATAGAACTGTATCTCAAGATGGTGGGGCAAATTCCTATTGCTTTTATTCTTTGTCCTTCTACCACTTGGCCCTGGACATAGGTGCAGTTGTGCAAGTGCATGAGAAAATTTGGCTTGGGGACCAAAAAGGGAGCCCCAGCAAATCACAAAGTATGGCAGAGACTGCAGAGAGGGTGAAGTGTGAGAAAGCAACCCCATGAAGTAGTTCATGAATGCCTGAGCTCATTGTCAAAGCTGTGCATGCATGGATTTTATCCTCCTTAGCATACCAAAGACACTGAAAACTGAAACAACAGAGATAACACCCAAGTCACATACTGGGTGTTGCACAAATATAAAATAAGTGAAACCATATAAAGTATGCTCTTAGATCATGATAAAATTAAGCTAGAAGTCAATAGTAAAGAATAACTTGAAAGCCTCTAAATACATGGAAACTAAATAACACATTTCTAAACAGCCCATGGGAAAATCTCAAGAAGTATTAGAAAATATTGTGAACTAAATGAAAATAAAAGTAAAACATTCAAACATTTGCAGGATGCAGCTAAAACAGTGTTTAGAGGGAAATTTACAGCATTAAAATGCTTGCATTAGCAAAAATGCAAGGTATCCAATCAGTAATCTAAGAAGCTATAAAGAGAGAACAAAATAAAGCAAAAGCAAGCAGTAGGAAAGAAATAAGAGCAGAAATCAATTAAACTCTATACGGAAAAACAATAGAGAAAAATCAATGAAGCCAAAAGTTTGCTTCTTTGGAAAAAAAAATCAATACAATTGATAAACCTCTACAAGTCTGACAAGAAAGAGAGACATAAAATACCAAGATCAGAATGAAAAAGGTCATATCACTACAAACCGTGAAACTATCAAAAGGCCAATAAACAAATACTACAAACAACTCTATTGATATAAATTCAAAAATTTAATGAAATAGATGAATTCCTTGAAAATCACAAACTACCAAAACTCATCCAAGATGAAATAGATAACTTGAACAATCCTAATTACTAAAGAAGTTGATTTTGTGGTTAAAAACCTTTCAAATAAGAAACCTCCAGGCCCAGATGGTCTCTTGGTAAATTCTGCCAAACCTTCAAAGAAGAAATAACACCAAATATACGCAATTTCTCCTAAAAAATAGAAGAGGAAGGAATACTTCCAATTCATTCTATGGGGCCAACATTACCCTCACACTAAAACCAGTCAAAGACATTATGAGAACAGAAAACTACACACTAATGCTTGTCATGGATAAAAATCCTGAAGAAAATATTAGCAAATCAAATCCAGCAACATATAAAATGAGTAATATACCATGACCAAGGAACGGAAGGCTGGTTCAATATTTGAAAATCAGTGAATGTAATCCACCAATATTGAAAATCAGTGAACGTAATCCACCATACTAACAGCTGAAAGAAGCAGCCACATGTCCATATCAATTGATGCAGAAAAGGCTTTTGACAGAATTCAGTATCTGTTCATGATATTAATAAAATTATCAGCAAATTAGGGATATAAAGAAATTTTCTCAACCTGATAAATGGTGTCAACCAAAAAACCTAAAGCTTACATCATACTTAATAGTGAAATGACTGCGTTCCCCCTAAGATTGTGAATAACACATAGATATTCACTCTTATCACTCCCAGTTAGTACCCTTTTGGAAGTTGCTGCCAGTGTGATAAGGCAAGAAATAAGACAACAAGTACACAGGTTGAAAAGGAAAAAATAAACTTGTCTATGTAGAGCATCCTAAGGATTTTACTAAAAACTCCGGTCACAGGATACAGGTCAGCACTCAAAATCAATTCTGCTTTTTTATACTAGCAATGGACAATTTGAAACTGAAGTTTAAATATACCATTTATGGCCAGGTACAGTGGCTCATGCCTGTAACCCAGCACTTTCAGGTGGATCACCTGAGGTCAGGAGTTCGAGATCAGCCTGGCCAAAATGGTGAAACCCTGTCTCTGCCAAAAATACAAAAATCAGCCAGGTGTAGTGGCACACGCCTGTAATCCCAGCTACTTGGGAGGCTGAGGCACAACTGCTTGAACCTGGGAGACAAAGGTTGCAGTGAACTGAGATCTTGCTACTGCACTACAGCCTGGGCAACAGAGCAAGGCTCAGTCTCAAAACAAAACAAAACAAAAACCAATTTATAATAGCTTCAAAAATATTAAATAATTTGATATAAATCTAACAAAACATGCACAGGATTTGTATGATGAAAGCTACAAAATGCTGATAAGAGAAATAAAAGAAGATCTAAATAAATTTAGAGATACATTGTGTTCATGAACTGGAAGATACAACAGAATAAAGATATTAATTCTCTCCAATGTGATCAATAGGTTTAATGCATTTCTAATAAAAGTCCAACCAAAATTTTTGTCAATATAGACAAGCTGATTCTCAAAATTTATGTGGAAAACAAAACTGTAATAGCTAAACAATTATGAAAAAGAATAAAGTAGAAGGAATCATACTGCTCAATTTTAAAACTATAATCAAGACAATGTAGTACTGGTGAAGGGACAGACACATAGATCAATGGAACAGAACTAGAGTACAGAAATAGACTCATACTAATATGGTCAACTGATTTTTGGCAAAGGAGCAACAGCAATTCAATGGAGAAAGGATATCTTTTCAATAAATGGTGCTGGAATAATTAGACATTCATATGCAAACATTAACCTCAACCAAAACCTCACATCTTGTACAAAACTAACTTAAAACAGATCATGAATCTAAATGTAAACTTACAAAACTTAAAATGTTTTATATAAATGGTTTACTATAAAAATGTAAAACCATACAATCTGTAGAGGAAAACATAAGAGAAAACCTGCATCATCTAGGATTAGGCAAAGAGTTCTTAGATATGATATCAAAAGCACAATCCACAGAAGAAAAAAAGAGTAATCAGACTTCATCAAAATTAAAACTATTGCTTTGTGAAAGATATTGTTAAAAGGAAAAGATAATCTATACACTGAAAGAAAAATCTTTGCAAATCAAACATCTTACAAAGTGTTACGCAGGGGAGTACATTCCTATGATTGCTGCAACCTTTCAAACCAATTGTGAAATAATTCTGGGCTTACCCATTTGTTACCAAGACCCCAGTGGGCACCAAATCCCTATTGAGAGCTTCCAATGACCAACGACGCAAGTTTTGGGAGGACTTCTTATTTGTTAAGTCGTGTACGAAAATAATACCTAAAATAATCAGAGAAAAAAAAGTTAGTCCCTTAACAATTCCTCTTCATTTCACAATTGGCCAAATGAAGCTTAGTAAATAGAAGCATTAGGTTGCTTAATGAATCTAGCATTCTAGTATGACTAACAACTCAGACACAACTATTTTAAAATTTCCTCTACAAATATTTATAAATAATTAGCCATAAACTTTTCTCTGTCAGTTTTATAACTCTTTATTTTACAAGGGCTGACGAAATGCCATTAAACTTTTAGCAGATCTTTACTTCATTCAACACTTCTTGAGTGCCTACTCCATGCCTGTTCCTACTTGTAGAACCACTTCATTAATCAAGAGAATCAAAACTACTTCAAGTACATATGAAATTATTCATCCAAAAAGCTATGTTGTTTCTTCACTGTACATAGTACTGCCACAGATACCAGTACATACATATATTATTTATGTTCATTACTTATACTCATTAAAAATAATACTAAGTAATGAAAATCTACTAAAATAGTACTGATTTGATACAATTGCTATTCTTTAGCTGACAAAATAGTGTCCTGTAGATCACCTGAGGCTAATCTACTCAAATGTCTAATTTTCTAGTTCTTTGAATAATGTTTAGTCATGTAAGCTTCCTACCTGTAAGAGATTTAGTTATGAGAGCAAAAGAAATATGCCACTACAAGAGAGTGGGTGGAGACATTAAATAGTAAAGAAGTATGAATAGTAGAAAGTACATGCACGGATTTCGATAGACTGAGAAAAATAACAAAATGTAATGATGCCCAGAAATACAATAAAATACAACTGAAGAGAATCAATTAAAATCCTAGATAGAAAGGTAAATCCAGGAATTAATTATTACAGCAAGATATAGACAAAAGAGGAAAACCTTTGATGCCCACTAGAATTTAGGATATCACCTTATGGTCAAAACACTATAGGTTTCAAACTCCCAACCCTTTTCTATATTACCCAGATTGTGAATAGGACATGAAACCAATGATCCCTCCATCTTCAAGAGGTGGTATGTGTCAATTTGAAAAAGAAAAGCAGAAGAGGTAGAATTAGCTGACTTCTACAGTTTTTACAGCCATCTGTGTAACTAAAGGGCTTGTACAAGCTATAGTTGAGTTGTTCCAGCCAGCTTAGATAAACCTGCATCTCTTTTGGTGTCTGAAACTAATAGAGATCAGACACTTGCCCTAATATCCAATTGTACCCACTCTTCCTTCCTCAATGAGGGGTTTTAATCAGCATCAATGGCATAGATTTAAAAAAAGGAATAAAGAACTACCATTAAAGACCACAGCTAATATTTATTCAGTACTTATGTGCCAAATATTGTGCTTTACATGTGTTACCTAATTTAATTTTCAGAACAGTCCTATGAAGCAAGAATTATTATTATCTTTATACACAAGAGAAAACTGAAGTTCAGAGAAGTTGAGTAACTTGCCCTTGGGCACGTGGTAAGTCAGAATTTGCACACAGGTAATCTGACAGTAAAGACATAAAGACTAGTGGTAAGCAGAATAAAATCTCATTTTAGGGCAAACAACTGGCATATATTTTCTGCCTTTCCTTTTCCCCAGGTTATAAACATGGCAAAACTACAGGTGAGAATTTTGGACGGGGGAGTGAAAGGATTACAAAGGCCTAAGTTGGCTATTAGATGGACAGGGAAAACTTTATTGAGGATCTTTAGGTAAGACTTTTGAGCTTTTAAGGGCATTTGAGTACCCTTTTCCCCTATTCTTTCTCTTTCATTTGGGTTGAGAGTTCTTGCTTTGCAGAACATGTGCTAGAAGAATCAAGGCGGGGCTGAGATGAAAGGAGTCAGGGTGATGGCAAATGGTAATATATCTTAATCTTAAGGGAGAGAAGTAAAGACACTTCTGTCTCAAAAATACCTAAACATTGAAGGTGTTATATATTCAGACTTCTCTGTGCCAGATCAGATAGATATCTTACTTTGACAAGTAATTTTACTGATACAAGTATAAGTCTAAACTAGGTTTCACTTCCCTCTCTTTCTCTAAGAGGTCACCTCACACTATACTAGTCTTATTATTGTTTGTCTTATTTATATGCATTCTATTAATATATACCATTATATATACTTTTCTGCATGATGATGGCATATATTAAGGTCATCTTATAACTGTATTTTGTCTCATTTATGAATGCTTTGTTTCTTTATTAAGACTGTGACATTTTCAGATAGAATTCTGAGCTAAATAGGATATGAGTCTGAACTGACACATCTCATTCTATATCCTATAATATGTATCCAGTGAAAAGAACCTTCTCTACGTCTTTTTGTAGAATCTACAACACCTCATGATATGGGAAGACATCAAAAGAGGAATATAAGGAACGAACATACTGAATAAATGTAATGCTTACTTAATACTGAGTGAGATCTAAGCACAGCATAAATGAGGTCTATTAATGGCTATGCATTTACCAGGGGGGAAATGCCAACTCCTTTGGTATATTAATCAAACAGAAGTTGGAATTATGTTTCACAGTAAAAACAGGTTTTAAAAATGAATTTTTAAGAAGACTAAGAAAGAAACTCTATTGGCAAATCATAGGTATAAGCAGTTTAGTCTCTTGATATAGAGTAGGTACTCTATGAAAGGAAATTATGTCCTATATTACACACCTCCATCTGGAAGTCTGCTCCAGGTATTTGAATATTTATAACTGGATAAAATTTCTGCACCCATAAAGACTCCCTTAAGCAGCTCTTCATAAGTAGCTAAGAAAGAGCCTTAGGGCTCTTTCTAAGGGGCAAATGAACAAAATCCCTCTATCTCTGTGATATCTGGCTTAAGACTATGAGAATCCTATGGTCCTACTGTACTTAGTCAACTCACTGGAGAGATAGCAGCCCCAGAGGACAACATTTTAAGTTCCATGTTTTATGTCAAGTATCAAAAATATGATTTTATTTCTCAATATTTAGTTTATGACAATAATATAAATAGAAACAGTTAAGACAAAGCACAGGTTCAATGTTCTGAATTAAATTAGATGGCTACAATGTAGAAACACAAACTGCAGATTTAAATCAAGGGTTGTGAGTACATTACATCTTTCTCAATATAAGATGAGTCTGGCATGCTATGGCATTCCATATCAGATAATCTATACTCTTAGACCATTAATATAAGATAGAAATTAAAAAATGCTTTACCATTTACAGAGTTGTAGAATACTGCTCTTGTGCTTTTCACGCTGCTGGCACTGCCCACAGAGCCTCCAACATCCCATAATTCTATGTAGTAGGTCTTCTCTTCTGGGGTTCCTTCTTTGTAATCATGAACCTAACAAATCAATTAAAATAATATAGCCACTAAACAAACTAGTAAGTACCCTTATTCCAGTTTAAAGCATTTCAGCATCTTACTCTGAGTTTCTGATCGCTACTTCTTATCTTTTAAGCTTACTCTTTTTAATACTTTAAAAATTTTTACTCCAGAGGACCTTTTGGTTAATTGATCTTAACAGCTTTCACAGCTCTCTGTTCCACTTCCAAAGCCTTACCACCCTCTTAACTAAGCATAAATTCCACGATCCATCATTACAGTCACTCCTTTACCCCGCTCTCATATTGCATTCATCTGACAAAATTCCACTCTGGGTTATATCCACCTTTCGCCCTCTTCCATGTCTACAACCCAGCAACCGAATGTGGAGCTCAGAAAAATACGCATTCAAGATAAATGGATTCTTTCTAAATTTAAGTGTACATTTGGAGCTGTCTTTTAATTAATTCCACAGTTAATTTACCATTTTTCTCTTCCAGATAACTATTTCATACTTATTATTCTTTTTAAACTTCCAGTATCTCTTCCCCACCCTCAATCACAACTAACTTTGCTTCCTATTGCAGAAGCAATTAGAAAAGAACTTCTACAACCTGTTCTTCCTGTATTTATCCACTTTCCTCCATCTGTGCCCACATAATCTGCTTTCTTTCTTGTTGTTTTCTTAGGCTGCCTGTGTCCCTAAGGCTAAATCCTCTCTCTATGCATGAAATCCCATCCCCAGTTTCTTGCTCAAAGATGTAATTCTACCAGTTCTCCCCTCTCTCCCTTATATCATTAAATTTTCCTTCTCAGCTGGATAATCCTCACCACACAATTCAATTCTCAGCATACAAACATGGCATAATTTTCCTCATCTAAAAAAAATCTTTCTCTTGACCTCAAGTCCTCTTTCAGCTACCATGCCACTTTCCTTTTCCTTTTCACAGCAAAAGTCCTCCAAAGAGTTGTCTATTCTTAGTGGTAATTCTTTTCTTCACATTATCTTTTGAACTCGTTTCTATCAAACTTATGCCCTAATGACCCCAATGAACTACTCCTTGTCAAGGTCACCAATGACCTCCACATTGCTAACTCCAATGGTCAATTAACAGTTTTCATTTTACTCCACCATTTGATCCACCTAGTCACTTCTTGTGTCTTGCAATATTTTTTCACCTGGCTTCTGGGATATCACACTCTTCTAGTTTTCTTCCTATCTCATTGGCTAGTGCTTTTCAGCTTCCATTTGGGTTCTTCTTCTCTCTCTGATTTCTAATTGCTAATGTGTCTCAAGGTTTAGTTCTTCAGTCTCTTTTCTTTTCTATCAATACTTGTTCTTGTGGCAATTTCATCTAAAAGGCAGTTTTATTCTTCCAGTTACTTGGGCCAAAAACTTAAGACTGATCCTTGACTCCTTTCATATTGCATTATTGCATTTGTCAACAAGTTCTGTTGCTTTGACTTTAAAAAAATATGGCAAAAATCTGTTCATTTCTCCCTATCTCCACTATTACTACCCAGGTCAGTCTGTATCTCCTTGCCTGAATTGATGTAATGGTCTCTAACCGATCTCCCTACTAGAGGCATCCCCCAACCTCCCTGTTTGTCTTCCATACAGTAGCTAGAGTGATCCTTTTAAAATGCAAGTTATATCATATGCCCTTTTGCTCAAAATCCTCCAATGACTTTCTCACTCACAGTTATCTCCAAAGACTCTCTTTTCCTTATGTCTAGGCTCTACAGGCATTTATTGCCTGTACTGTATAACTATTCAGAAACACATTATGATATGTGGCAAGCAGATTAAAGTATGCTGGTTCCTGAGTACACATTGGCATCTTCCAATAATTAATTTTTTTTTTAAGAAATATACATGGCAGTCTTACTGAAGCAGGACCTTTGGGATTAAATACTAGGCATGTGTATTTTGAACAATTCTCCAAATGATTCTGCTGTAACCCCCTCATTAAGAACTGCTGCTTTTATAGAATGGGACTATTCTGGTATCAGGAGGCCTAGATTCTACTCCTTGATTGCCACTGATTATCCTTGGTATCTTGGAGCCTCAGTTCCTTTGCCTATAAAATGAAAGAGTTGTATTATGTGATTTCTAAAGTATCTACTGGCTTTGACATCATAATTAAAAAAACAAAATCAGTAGTTAAAACAGATGTCATAAAATGCACTAAAACTCACATACTACATTCAACTTAATGCTTTACACTTTTACTTATTCACATTTTTTTCGTTCAAATCCTTTTGGCCAAGGAAAAATTTAAATAAATATGCTACTCTATAAACAGCCACATTAACATTAAGAAGACAATTATCAGACTGACATCAAAGACAGTATGACAGAAAAATGAAAACAGCACAGTCACAGCAGCTGAGGACCATTTGGGATAATGGAAATTAATTTTGTATACTACAATAGAAGGCATCACTATTTTGTTATATGGCAAAAATAACTTATAATATGTGATCATGCCAAGTCAGCAATAAAAAAGTTAAACCAAGCAGAAAAAACACACGTTTTAGCAGATTTCTAAACAAAACAATGAGAAAAAGCAGTATGAGGTCTTATAAGGAGTAAGTTTTCTGTCATGAAAAAGCTCAGCCACTTCAGTTAAGTCTTTCCGATCCTACCTTCCTTCTGGGCCCAAATCAACCAGAGCACGTTTTGCACTCCTCCTATTTGCTTCCATAGCATCCTACACACCTCTATCATTTCACTAAGCACACTGTCTTATTTATCTACTGATATCTCTTCTTCTGGGCTCTGAGTGTAAGGGCAGGGACCATGTATTATTCATCCTTTAGCCCTAGAAAATAGCATATCATCTAGCATATATTAGATGCTTAGACAGGTTTGTTAAATACATGAATACATTTTGGATAACTCATCCTCCAGGTTTTTATTATATTCAGTTTATTATTTACCAAATTCCAGTGTTTCTCCAGTACAGTTCCGAGAGCAAACTAAATCAAAACCAATAGGAAGTTTGTTAAAAAATACAGATTCCTGGACTGTCCTTGAAGCTTCTGGGATGGGGCTCAAAAGTCTGTATATTTTTTTTAAGCTCCCTAGGTGATTCTGATACATGATTAAGTTTGGCAACCACTGCAGCACACCATTTTTTTCTCTAAATTATTTCAAGTATTTAATGTTGCCTCCTCTAAAAGACTGTAACTCCTCTGAGAACAGCCACCATCCAATATAAATTTCTAGGCAGCATACCCTCTTAGCCTTGCATTGTACCAAACCTGTTAGCCAGCACCTTTCAGGCTATGCATATTCCCAAGCCAGACTGACTCACTCACCTATACTCTTCTCTACCACAAATTACCTTTCCTAGTCAAATCCTTTCCTGTTTCCTTCTGAAATCAGAAGATAAGGTGTCCTCCTTCCTTTCCAACTTAATTAATACTGGCTAAGTTTAACCTAATTCACATGGAATGAATCCCAATGACTTTAAATCAGTAGCTTACAGCTTGTAGTTATGACATCACATCTTTCATATGTGTGAGTAATCTCCAAGGGAAAGCCTGACATTATAACAAGTATTGCTCTCGACACAGTAAGTAGTACTTTGGTGCTATACTGAGAGCCCAACATGATGGGAGGTAATGCCAAACTATAAGAAGTGTGTTTTATATTTAAAGCAGGTTATTGAGGATCTGATACTTAAGAGTCACTGCAGACCTTACAGCTATACAATAAAGGATTTTCTTAACAGGAAGCAACAGTACAGCTGATCATCAAATGGAAAAAGGAATACTCCTCAACGATGCTGCCACTTTGGACCTTCTCATTTATTCAGCTTTTGACTTTTTCTTGAAAACAATATTAAGACCTATGTACATAAGGTTTTGTTTCATTTGAAGAGTTCATTCATTGTAACTTTTAAAACGCAGAAACACATTTAGAAAGAAAATGACACACATCAAGAAAGAACAGTGGATATTGTAGATGCTAATAAGTTTGGTTCAGTATTTGTACCTGCAGAATCATTATTTTTTTTTTTTTTTGAGAACGTGATCCTTGCTCTGGCCCGGGGCTGGAGTACCAGTGGCCGGATCTCAGCTCACTGCAAGCTCCGCTCCCGGGTTCTAACGCCATTTCCGCTGCCTCAGCTTGGGACGACACGCGCCGTCAGCGGCCCGCGTCAGGCCGGGCTAGGTTTTTTTGTATTCTTTTAGTGAGCACACAACAGTAGACGACATCACGCATCCTGCCCTCGTTCGACCCGAGGCCCAGATTCCGGCATCCCAAGGCTGCGGATTCAGGCTTGAGCCACCCAAGCGCCGGCCTACGACCCCTGCAGAATCATTATTAAAGACAGGAGGGAAAGGCGAGGTACAGAGGTCTTAGGAGGAGCTTGGTAACCAAAGAAGAACAGGCTGGAAAAGACGACATACTAGGACACATCATACCCACAGAGCAGAAATTAATTCTCTCATTCACCTGCTAATACTTTGCCCAGTTCCTTGCACAGTGTCTCGATACAACGGAGGTACTGCAACATACTGTACTGGAAGAACCAATGAACAAATGACATAGTGTCACGGTTCTTACTGCTACTGTTCTTCCCTTCTGGTTTACCTGCTCTTGGCCTTCAGTCACAAGCTTAATCGTTTTCTATTTTTAAAAAAGCCCTTCACTTTCCCTCCCTCACATTTGCTCTTTATTAATGTCTAACACTCTTGCTGACAAAATTGATTTAAACAGTCTCTGTTCTTCCTCTCTGAACCAGTCATAGTCATCTCTGGTTTCTGCCACAAATATTCCATTTGCACTTTCCATACGTTCCAGCAGAGACTTTAATCATGCACCTATATCCCAGTATTATTTTTTTCTTCCTCAGGTCCTCATATTGCTACTGTTTCAAACTAAAAATCAATCCCCTACATGAAGGTTCTCACCTCTTTGCTCTTGTAGTTCCCCTTTTGGCTATCTTTATTTCTTTGCGATTAGTCTTTCTCTGCGACCCCTCTCTTTCCCATCTACTCTCTAA